TTCAAATGATTCTAGTCTCGGATTCCGGCACAGACCAGATGATAAGGACAAGATGATAAGGAAAAATGAAGAAAGGATTCTTTCTCAAACGGCGATGCTACCGACCGAATCGGTCAAAGAAATCTGTTGATTTTCTTTCCCAGAGAATGATCGCTAAAAATTTTTAGACAGAGCAATAAAAATTTTTAGGACTCTCTGATGATTTCAAACCAAATTTCCGCAAAAGTCTCATCTGGAAACGATGCAAGCTGAATCAATTCAACAGCGCCCAAGTCCATGAAATCAAAATATTTAAGAGTGGTCAGATATATTCATTACCACATGAAAAACTTAATTTACGTTTGTGATATGCGATATGAATTGCTTGCTTTATTATGATGTCTCTTGATCACAACACAACAACGATTAAGTATGCACGCTTTGTTTTGTTCTAATTTATAATTTTTGTTTCAAATTGACCAAATCAATTTATACTCACAGACAAACAAATTATCAACCAGCAGACAACAATCCACAATTCACCAATCTCAATCACTTGAAAATGAGAAAAAATAAATTACAAATAAGAATACGAACGATATGATGAAAATTCAACTGTTTTGTGGCCAAAATAATTGTTTCCATTCAAATGAGACCACAAAATCAACATTATAATGCGAAGAAAGAAGCCAATGAAAGCTCAGAAGCAAACTGAAATTAGAATTGGAAGCAGCAGCAAAAATGCGTTAAGATTCACAGTTAAATGAATGCAAAACAAACGAATGAAGTGAACAACGTATAGGCACTTAATCAGCTTATACAGCAACATAAAAATACACCGACCTTCTTATGCTTAATCGACAATTCAAGAGAATTCAATAACTCACAAAAAATGATGAAGAAATCCGTCAACAAGCAATTATAAAACTAACCGCAACTAAACAAATAAAGCACTTCCGAATCGCTCGTAATCTTAACGAAACTCGCATACATTGAAAATTCCTTCAAAATTCCAGATAAAACAAGCAAAGTGTCAAACAATTCAACAATATCACATTAGAAGAACATCAGATTGGAATAAGTTCGTAAAAAATGAGCACAATTATCGCAATCATATCATTTGTACCCGTTTCAAGTTCAAGTATTTTGCTCTCAAAAAATTATTACAATGAACAACTGTGAAAGAACCACCAAGCGATCGAAGTCACAGAAATCATCTTACCAAATTCATTCACAAATGATGAACATCATTACTGCGAATGGTAAATGACGATTTACATGTTGAATTGATTGCTTTCGAAGGGTGATAATTGAGGAACGACGAAATTGTTGTTGAAGACGGTGAGGATGAGTCGGCATCGGCTGCACGCGGAGGACGAGGTCCCAACTGCAGTTGCATTTTGCTTTCATCGAAAATATTCGTTGGCTTCGGTTTTGTCATCACTCGATGACAACACGACATCTCTGCAGCTTGCAACAAGTTCTCGGCTGGTTCGTCTCGAAAACTTGCTTGAAGTGCACCCGACTGACACGGACATTGCCGTTCCGCGTTGGCTACCAGCGCCTGTGTGTCCTCACATTCCAAGTGCATTAAATGACCACAACTGAAGTTAAATCCTCTTAAGATTCAAT